TGATACGAGATACTTGGTGGTTGTAGCTACCCCTGATATGAGATACATCGTGAGATATAAGGCAGAGTTAGCTCCCCTCTGGTGAGATACTTTGCAAGATCAGTAGCCCTTATAAGCAGATACTTTGCAAGATCAGTAGCCCTTGTAAGCAGATACTTTGCAAGATCAGTAGCCCTTGTAAGCAGATACTTTGCAAGATCAGTAGCCCTTGTAAGCAGATACTTTGCAAGATCAATAGCCCTTGTAAGCAGATACTTTGCAAGAGCATCAGCCCTTGTAAGCAGATACTTTGCAAGATCAGTAGCCCTTGTAAGCAGATACTTTGCAAGATCAGTAGCCCTTGTAAGCAGATACTTTGCAAGAGCTGAAGCCCTTGTAAGCAGATACTTTTCAGCAGTAGCTATCGCACTATGACACACCAGGCAGCCTTAGTGCTGCGCGGTGACAACGGGTCGCTGCGGTGGCCAGATCGGCAGCAGTGGCCAACGAGGGCGCCACCGATCGCACGATGCGGTCACCGCCGCCAGCGAGCATTTTCCTGGCGGTCGCGGCAGAATCGTCGCTGACAGTGGTTGACAGTGACTGACAGTGTCTGACAGTGGTTGACATTGATCGATGCTAATGGCGCCGCGATGGCATTGGACGAGGGAGAGATAGAACACGTGTACAGTGACCCTTACATCTGCTACCCTTGCGTGTGTGTGTCGGTACAAACACGTTGAAGAGGTTTATCTACCCCCTACTCATTGTAATGGAGTTTTACTTTGGTGTATTATGTTGAATTCGCGGTGTAATTATGTTTATTGTGGCACGTGTATGTGTGTTCCTTATTAGTTTTGGGCATGTCAGGAGCCAAATTTGTAGGGCAAGCAAGCGTTAACGTGTGGTTTCTTGTGTTTTTTTTAGTAAATCGCTTATGTTAGATCTATAAACAGTAGCTTTTGAAGACTCTACTGAAATCACTAGCTATGAAAAACCATCCGATGTGACTTTGTTTAGAGGCATATATACCGTCGATTTTTTTTTAAATTGCTTTTTCTGTTTTAGTGCTAACTCCTCACTCTTTCATATATGCACTGTATCTATTAGTTGTCTGTAAATGAATTGTTGTACGAGTGACCTTATAATAAAATGGTTTGTGTAGTGAAAATTATATTGTATGTTTTGTTGTTGGTGGTAGTCAATATATTGCGTTTAAAACCTTTTAACATTAGTAAACATGAATGAATTATATTACTTTTTGGAAATTTGACTAATTAAAAGAATGAATAGCAGAAATCTAGTAAGAAACTGGTTGGGCACTGGGAGAGATTACCAAGCTACTTGTGTTTATAACATTCCTACTTTATATATAAAATTTCAACAATATGTATCCTATCAAGAGCGTATAAGAAGGTGATATAGTATAATACTATATATAATTCCTATAATACCTGTAATATAGCGATTAGACTTTTGAAATGCACATGACGAAGAAACGCATAACTCTGTAATGATTTATTACAGCCTTATAACAGACATCGGCACAATAAGACACAAACTAAATTGATATAGTAGCATCAGTTACAAAAATACAGTTACACCTGTAGCAGTAGCAGAAGGTTGAACCAGACTGGTGTCAGATAAGTACGTGACTTTCCCCCTAGGTGGTGCTGGTTCATATCCCAGTAGCTGGAATTTGTACTCAAACTTTTAACTGGTTTCACAATCGATCTTTTATATATTCCCTGTAAACCACAGTATGAAAGCCTCCAAGACGGCTGGCTGCCATGCTCCCTTGTAACATAGCAATATATATATATATATATATATATATATATATATATATATATATTATAAATAGTACATTTATTATGCATATACATAATACACTGCACTATTTTATTTAACTATAGTATATATTATTATATTATACACACATATAGTGCCGCATATGCACTATACTTATACATTATTACACATGCGCATATGCGATATATACATGATATACGTATAACGCCATACATGTATGAGGCCGAACTATTTGACATTACATATAAATATATATATATTAGTTATATACACACGTATAAATATATACATATACATACATAAAGATTTATATCATGTCTCATATGTATCATATGTAAGTGTAATAACACATACAGAATATTACATTAATAATAGATTTATCGATATACTAGATATAATAAAAATGTAATTCTTTCGCAATTTGCTTCAAAATGGCACAGGAATCGAAGCAAAAGCGAACAAATTTTTTTTTTTTGGAAACCGGGGACGCCATGGCCAATCCTTTACCGGGGCGGATACTCACACAGACACCAAGCTTCTCCTGCTACCCCGCACGCACGCACGCACGCACGCACGCCACACAAACGCCACGTACGCGACCACACACGCACGCAACGCAAACGCACTGCCACGCACGCATCAGATGGAGAAAGAAGGAGGACTTCTGTCTCACATGGCGATTACCAAAAGCAACAATACCGCACTGTAATATATCTGATGCAATATCTGTAATATATCTGTGCAGATATGACTGTGAGTGGGAGGGAGCTCTGCTGACGAGATTGCATGAACTCACACAGAGGACCACGCGCTTGTCTATCTCCCTCGCTCCGTCGTCATTCGGTTAGCTGATTCAATTTGCCTGGCACTTCCTGGCTAGACACCCAATATAATTCATACTGATGAGGCAATTATGCATTTGAATTAGCTGAAAAGCATGCGCCTGGAGTCTAGCAAGGCACACCTCAAATATGGAACTTAGCGCTAGGATGGCAGCAACGCATTAGATAAAATGCAAAAATGTTGGCGAAAACCCGACCCGCCAAGGCAGAGACACCATGCGTGGCTGACTTGGATTCTACGGGCCCGGCTTGGTCGTGCGCCGCGTCGCGTGGTGATATGATGTTGGTGCTATGTGCGTGCTGGTGCATGTTTGACAACGGACAGGACTAGTGAACAAGGAATTTCACTTCACATAGTATGTTTGGGGACGTTCGTTCGGGCCGTACGGTGCGAGCGTGGATAACTGTGTGTGGTGTGGTGTGCACGTGTGCGCAGAAGCACGCCGATACCAGTTGTTTGGTGACTGATGTCTGCCAGAATCGTGTTCAGTGTTATGTGTGTGGGCGTGTGTGTGTGTGTTGTAGTGTGTGTGTGGGGGCGGCTAACGGTCTGGGTATTTGTGTGTGATGAGATGTGTAGTGTCGAGCAAACAGTTAAGTGATGGCAAAGAATGAAGAGTGAATCTCAGCACGTGCGTGTCTATCGCGTGTGTGTTGTCTGCAGTTGACTCTCTTACCAAACTTCAGGGGACGTGCGACGTGAGAGCAGTCACGCTGAACGCGAATGCTTTCCAATTCTTGAGTCGTCTCGGCCTGCTTCCCGTACGCCGTTGTGTGGACAGAGTCATCGCAATGGTTATCCCAGCCTAGCACCTTCCACATTTCTTGCCAGAAACTCGGCAGGAGCTCTCTCAAGTACGTGTGTGTGCGTCGCGTTGCGTATCTCTGTCGTCCGATAGTGAGTCTCTGTTGTTGACGTGTCGTCTGCGCTTATATAGTGATATGTGTGCGTACTTTGAATTCCATAAGTTCCTTAAGATGATTTAGTTCTGACAGACGGCTAACTTCTTGTTGTTGGCCAGTGCGGGCGACTGTAATTTTAATGGGGGGGCGATCTCATGTAATGACCTTCGCTGTCTGTGTGTGTGTCGTGTGTGTGTGTGTTCTGGGTGTGTGGTGATCTTGTGCTTGTCGTGTTCCGATGATTTCGAAAATCGCAAGGTTTCCTGAGACAAACCTTATCTCCGGAGTGCTGTCTGCAATCTGACTCCAACACTTGATAACAGCACTGGGAGATGCTAGATGCTCTTCTTTCGTGCGTATGTGAACTGTGCGTTTTTGACAGATCTGGAGTCTTGGGCTGCATTGGTGGGCTGGACGACATACTCACCCGAATTGTTTTTCAAGCGCCAAGTTGCTCTTCTGTTCAGTGCGATGCAAGTGTGCTCTGTCGCTCCTACCGCAATGGCAGGCTAACAATAAGCAGCCCACTCGCGAGTTCTGAAGTGGAGGGAATCTCCTCGGCAATGGTAGCTAAGGTGAGACCATTCCTTTGCATTCTACTCGTCGGGAATTACGCTCGTTCAACGGTATGATGATCCTGTGTAAGCTGTAGGCATGTTCAGTCTATCCTCCTATGTACATCTCACTCGAAGACTTCTATCTGTCACAATGTACTACGCGTTGATTAGCCGTCGATTGTGTGTTTAAGTTGCGCGCGTGCGTGCGTATGTTGCGTG